AGAGGGTGGAGGGGGCGGCGCAAAACGCTCCCGGTGGTTCTCCAGTCCGACTGGAGGCGAGGAGGACGATGAATGCGAATTTGCCTGTATGGCGGCAGCGGCGACGTTAAAGCCCTGTGAGGGAATTCGGCCGATATCGTTGGCAAAGGAAGATATGGAGGCAGCAGTTGTCACTGCTGTGGAAGGCGGTGAGGAAGCGGAGGAGGGGATGGACCCAGAGAAGGGAGTACTCAGGCGATCGGATTCGGGAAACCCTGGCTGAACCATGGAGGACTTGGGTTGTTGGGAGAAGGTAAAGGGTGATCTTTTGGGGCGAATTCGTGATCTGCTGACCTGTGAGAAATCTGGAAAGCAGGTGGGCGAGGCAGTTGAAACAGGCGGGTTGGCAGGCAGGGTAGGACAAAATGTTGAAGACGCCTGCCCTGCAGGGCGCTGCTGCTCGAAGGGACCGGGAAATGACATGCCCGTAGTCTCAAAGTTGCCTCCCTGGACGAAGGGCATGGCTGAAGGGATAAATAGAAAACAAGAAAGTTCGATGCTTCTGTTAGAAAAAAACCAGTCATCTTTAAATGATTTTTGCCAAAAAACACAACCAAGACAAGAGTGGTCATGTTGAATTCTTTTTTGTCTTATTCTTCAGATATTTCCCGCTCTTCTGAGGCCAAGAAGACAGTCGATTTTAACCCAAACTCGGCTGTTTCTCTAGTCGAATGCTCTACCCTAATTGGCTGTAATTGCATACCTTTTGGCTGCTATCGGTGATGCTGGATGGTAAATTCACGACTCGCCGTCAAAAGTTTGGTAGAAAAGGTGGTACAAGGAAGGGGAGGTCAAAGAAAGCACTGGAAATTGGTCAGAAATTCGCATTGGAGAAAACACGGATTGTTGACACTTATCCAACTAGAAAAGGCCGTGAATGCCCGGAAGCAATGCACTCAGATGAGGCATGCATCGACAGGCATATCAATTTGGACGCCAGCTATAATTACCTCAAGGCCAAGTTTAACGCACGCGCGCGCGACCAACCACGACGGAATGACGAATTGCATGTAACGCCTACTGTCGCAGACTGACAATCCACAGTTGCCAATCGGTGCTCACTTCAGATGATTATTAATTTCCTGGACGTTTTAAATTTTAATTGTTTGTTGCACATTTTCTCAGGTCTGAAGACGATCGGGGGCGAGCCTGTCTCGAAAATTTACGCATTTAAGTTTCAACTTTCCCAAAGAAGCCTCCCTTTCTTCTTAATTTACTATCTTGAGATGCCCATATTTCAAAGGATAACGGATGGGTACATCCTGAAACAGACGGACGAGTGGGTCCTCTGACAGATCCGTGTACGCGTATATGCCACATTACCAATATTATATACTCCCGATCAAAAACCGGCGAGACAGCGAACTCGTGGCTCATGCCTCTGACCGGAGAAACGCGGGTTCGAAACTCGAGTGTGGTAGCAATTTCAGCGGCTACACTGCAGTTGGTTATCGCTAGCTGACGACGGCTAATAAGCCAGAAAGAGCTGTCTTAGCGTCCTCGTCTTTGCCGGTAATACCTATAAAATGTAAGTTACTGAAACTTGGTTAAACAAAGGGCACAAAGTGAACAATGAGGTATTGTGCTACTTACATGCCGTCACAGGACTGTCTGAAACAGCCGTCTGAAGGGGCCTGTTGGTCGGGGGATATGCAGCGTTATTGGTTTCTGCACGCTGCGGTAGGGATGGTGGGAGTGCCAATTGTAGCTGTTGTTGGCCCTGCTGTGGCATTTGTCCGG